CCCCCCCCCCCAAACTACAGGAGGAAGTTAGTTTCGGAGGTAGTAGGAGTGAGCCAGCTGGGCTGGGTGGGTTCAGGAAACAAGTTACAGCTGAAACCGGTGTGGCTCAGTGGTAGAGTGTTGGCCTGTGGACTGAAAGGTCCCAGGTTCGATTCCGGTCAAGGGCACGTACCTTGGTTGTGGGCACATTCCCAGTGGGGAGTGTGAAGGAGGTAGCTGGTCGATGTTTCTCTCTCATCGATGTTCCTAACTCTCTATCCCTCTTCCTTCCTCTCTGTAAAAAATCAATTTAAAAAAAATATATATATATTTTAAAAAGTTACAGAAGCAAATGAAGGGCCCTTGGAGCTTAGGAGAGAGAAAGCAAGGGGAAGCAGGGGAAGGAGAGGCAGGAGGGAGAGGTGCAGGAGGGAGGGCACCAATCAAGCAAAATTTCAAAAGCACAAAACCTAAGCACCCCTCTCCCCCTCCCCAAACCTGATGAATTGGGTGACACTGAAATGGAGGGAGTCTGTTCAGTGAAAGACCCCTGGGACGGAGCTGAGAGAGCTGACCGGGTAGGAGAAGGCATGTGTGGTGTCTACAGCGAGGACATTAGATCTGTAATAAGCGAAGAACTCCAGCAAATCAGGTAGGAACAGGCCAGGGTACCAAGGGGCGGTCTGCAGAAGAGGGAAACGGAATCCGCAGGCCACGAAGAGATGGGAGACGGGCCGCGGGCACAGGGAAGGGGGTGAGAGTGGACAAAGGCTGCTGCCCCCAGGCCGCCAGGGCTGTGGCACCAGGCCCGGAGGCGGGGAGGGGGCATGGCAGGGGGTGGGGAGGAGAAGCATCAGCCACGGCCACTTCCCAGCTCCTGCCCCTGCCCCTCCCCACAGGCAGACCCTGAGGTCCTTCTGTCCCTCAGGCCCAGGGTGTGTGTGTGTGTGTGCGCATGTGTGTGGTGTGTGGTGTGTGTGTGTGTGTGTGTGTGTGTGTGGTGTGTGTGGTGTGTGGTGTGTGTGTGGTGTGTGTGTGGTGTGTGTGGTGTGTGTGGTGTGTGTGTGTTTGTGGTGTGTGTGGTGTGTGTGGTGTGTGTGTGAGTGTGTGTGGTGTGTGTGTGGTATGTGTGTGTGTGTGTGTGTGGTGTGTGGTGTGTGTGGTGTGTGTGGTGTGTGTGTGAGTGTGTGTGGTGTGTGTGTGGTATGTGTGTGTGTGTGTGTGGTGTGTGTGTGTGTGTGTGTGTGGTGTGTGTGGTGTGTGGTGTGTGTGTGGTGTGTGTGTGGTGTGTGTGGTGTGTGTGGTGTGTGTGGGGGGGGAGGGAGGAGAGCTGTGTGGTGTGTGTGTGGTGTGTATGTATGTGTTTGGTGTGGGGGGAGTGTGAGTGGGGGGAGTGTGTAGTTGGAGGGGAGTGTCTGACAGGGCTGTGGAGCTGGAGAATGTCAGGAGATAAAACGGCAACTGTTTCTCTGCTTTTCTCCTTGTTCTCTGGGGGCTGATGGGCTGCCGGCCGGCAGGCCTGGCGAGGGCGCCTTTCCGGTGCTTTGGCATAAGTACAAGGAGCGCATCGGGCTCTTGGGAGGGAGGTACGAAAGGCGTTTGCCTGTGAGGGACAGGGACAGGGAGGGCGCTGGAGGACGAGGGAGGAGGCCGGGGTGTGTGTGTGTGTGAGGAGCAGAGACCTGGGCCAGGCCCGGCTGCCCTGGCGCTGTCTGAGGCCCAGCTCCGTGCCGGCCGCCTCCGTGGCCAGGGCTGTCTGCCCAGAGCGCCCTGCCCTGTCCCTGGCCGGGCCAGTCCGGAGGGCGCCGCCCCTGCTTGCACCTGCCTGGCTGTGAGGAAACGCTCATTCCATTGTCCACACACATGTTACCTTACACATCATATTGGTGTTTCCAAGCTTTTTTTTTTTAAAATATACTTTATTGATTTTTCACAGAGAGGAAGGGAGAGGGATAGAGAGCTAGAAACATCGATGAGAGAGAATCATCGATCAGCTGCCTCCTGCACCCCCCCCCCCCACTGGGGATGTGCCCGCAACCAAGGTACATGCCCTTGACCAGAATCGAACCCGGGACCTTTCAGTCCATAGGCCGACGCTCTATCCACTGAGCCACACCGGTTTGGCTCCAAGCTTCTTGTGGCTCCAGGCAGGAGGGCTCAGATGAGGGAGCAGGGCCCTGAGGCAGGCGTCCGGTTCTGACCGACCCCATCTCTTTGTTAAGCTCCTGACGGGCTCCTTCCCGCCTCCGGGACCCCGTCACCCCGTCCCGTCACCCAGGGAACACGTGTGCCCTCAGGGCTGCTCTCCCCGCCCCATCTCAGGAGGAAGCCTGCCTCCCAGCGGTCACCAGGCCTGGCCCTGCCCCCGGCCGCGCTGCAGCCTCAGCGCCAACGGCTCTGCGAGGGGCTTTGCCCAGCTGCCATCGGAGGCCCCCGAGCGGAGAGGGAGCTTCTGGAAGGGGCTCCGGGCAGACCCTCTGGGCTCCACGCCCCGGAACCCTCTGCGTCGTCCTCAGTCCCGGTGACATCAATCGGCACAGCTGGGTTTGGAGCCAGAAACACCTACACCCCCGTTACCGTGGAAACACCCACCCTCCCCGTTACCATGGAAACACCTACACTCCTTGTTACTGAGGGTTCAGTGTCCCTCTATCCAGGTCGGTTCAAAGCCACATCGTTCTCCTTGTGACTGTTTGTACAGTGACCTCTACCTTAAACACTTTTTAAAATCTGCCCTAACCGGTTTGGCTCAGATAGAGGGTCAGCCTGCGGACTGAAGGTCCCAGGTTCGATTCCGGTCAAGGACATGCACCTTGATTGCGGACACATCCCCAGTGGGGGGTGTGCGGGAGGCAGCTGTTAGATGTCTCTATCTCTGTTCCTCTCCCTTCCTCTCTGTAAAAACAACAACAACAACAACAAAATATTAAAAAATTTAAAAAAATTAAATCTGCTCTCTTTCCCTGCCGCCGCGGAGTTGCGCGGAGGCGGAGTCTTGGGAGCGTTCAAGATTCGGCTCTACCCATAACCCACCGCCATGGCCGAGGAAGGCATTGCTGCTGGAGGTGTAATGGACGTTAACACTGCTTTGCAAGAGATGCTGAAGACCGCCCTCATCCACGACGGCCTCGCGCGCGGAATCCGCGAAGCCGCCAAAGCCTTAGACAAGCACCAAGCCCACCTTTGTGTACTTGCATCCAACTGTGATGAGCCCATGTACGTCAAGTTGGTGGAGGCTCTTTGTGCTGAACACCAAATCAACCTCATCAAGGTTGACGACAACAAGAAACTAGGGGAATGGGTAGGCCTCTGTAAAATCGACAAAGAGGGAAAACCCCGTAAATTGGTTGGCTGCAGTTGCGTGGTGGTTAAGGACTATGGCAAAGAGTCTCAGGCAAAGGATGTCATCGAGGAGTACTTCAAGTGCAAGAAATGAACAATAAACTTGGCTTTTGTTTAAAAAAAAAATAAATCTAATTTTGAATTGATTTCAGAGAGGAAGGGGGAGAGAGAGTGAGATCAATGACGAGAGAGAATCACGGATCCGCTGCCTCCTGCCCGCCTGCCTTGGGATGGAGCCCACACCAGGCTGTGCCGGGACCAGGAATCGAACTGCGACCTCCTCGCTCACAGGTTGGCGCTCACCCACTGAGCCACACCGGCGGCCGGCGACCTCCGCCCCTCCAGCGGCGCCCGGTTCCCTTAGGGATGCAGCAGGGTCGTTTCCCGGGGGCTGTCTGAGCTCAGCGGGTGGTTCAGGGGAAACGGTGGCGTCCAAGTGGCTGTAGGAATGAAACCAGCCTGCAGTGTGCGTGCCCGCGTGTCTGTGCGCGTGTTTGAGCGCACGCACGCGTGTCTGAGTGTGTGCACGCGTGTTTGTGTATGTGCACGCGTGTTTGTGCGCGTGTTTGAGCGCACGCACGCGTGTCTGAGTGTATGCACGCGTGTTTGTGTGTGTGTTTGTGTGCAGGGCACGCGGCTCTGTTCCTCTTGGGGCAGCGCCTTTTGTCTGAGTTTGTGTCTTGAATCTGCGACCCAAGGGGAGGAGGAGGCCGGCCGGGGCCAACCCAGGGCCCGGGGAAGGTTCTGGAAACCCCGACCCGGTCTCCCCAGCTCCCCGCGAACCGTCCGCGGGCCGGGCCGGGCCGGGCAGGCGGGGCGGGCGGCGGTGACTCAGCAGCGGGCGGGGGGAGGGCAGGAATCGGGGGGCGGGGCGGGGCGGGGCGGGGCGGGGCGGGGCGGGACCTCCCCGTCGGGCTCCGGGCCGCGGCCTCCGAGCACAGTTGCCGCCGCCGTCGCTGTCCCGCTCGGTCGCCAGTGAGTTGCGGGACCCGGGGCGGGGGGCGCGGGGCGCGGGGGCGCGGGGCCCGGGGCCCGGGGGGCGGGGGGCCCGGGGGGCGGGGGGCCCGGGGGCGGGGGCCCCGAGGCTGCAGCGCCCGCTCCGGCCGGACCCCGCCCGCCGCGAGGGGATCGGGCCCCGGCGCGGGGCGGGGTCCTCGGGGCCCGGAGCCCGGATGGGCCGGGGGACGGGGCGGGGGGTGCACTGCCCTCCGGCGCTAACCAGCTCCCCCCCCCAGTGGCGCCCTACACCATCGTCTACTTCCCCGTCCGAGGTAGGCGGGCGGGGGGGGCCGGGGGGAGAGGGGTCCGGGGGGGGGGCCGGGCCGGGGGGGGGCCGGGGCCGGGCGGGGGGGGCCGGGGGGAGAGGGGTCCGGGGGGGGGCCGGGCCGGGGGGGGCCGGGCCGGGGGGGGGGCCGGGGCTAGGGGGGTCCGGGGGGGGTCCGGGCCGGGGGGGGGCCGGGGCTAGGGGGGGCCGGGGCCGGGGGGGGGGGGGAGGCGGGGCCGGAGGGGGCGCAGACCCGCTGCCCGTCCTCGGGGCCGCTGGCCGGACCGCGTGCCGGTCTGAGCTCCGGGCTGGGGTCCACCCTGTGCCGGCCCCTCCCCGGAGCCCCCTCCCGCCCCCCGGCCCGGGGTCGGGGTCTCAGCCCGCGCCTCCCCCAGGGCGCTGCGAGGCCACGCGCATGCTGCTGGCGGACCAGGGCCAGAGCTGGACGGAGGAGGTGGTGACCAAGGAGACGTGGCTGGAGGGCACCCTCAAGGCCTCCTGTGTGCGTGCCCCGCCCGCGGGCCAGGGGGCTGGGGCTGGGGGGGCAGGGGGGCCCAGCACTGACAGGGCTGTGCACCCCCAGCTGTACGGGCAGCTCCCCAAGTTCCAGGACGGAGACCTGACCCTGTACCAGTCCAACGCCATCCTGCGGCACCTGGGCCGCTCGCTGGGTGAGCGGAGGTGCCGGCCGGGGCGGGTGGCTCCCGCTCTGGGCCCCGGGGCAGGGGAGGGGGTGCGGGCACCGGGAGGCCGAGCCCAGCTCGCCTGCAGCCCTGCCCCCCGCCAGGCTGCCTCCCACCCGGTCCTGAGCACCCCTGTGGGGCAGGACCCCTCCCTCCCTCCCCCACCCTCCTCCCTCCCTGGCTGGGCCCGGCACATGGGCCTGAGGACGCTCAGTCTGTCAGCTGACGGTCACGCCGGCTCTGCTGCCCGCCTCCCCGCACCCTCCCCCAGGGCTGTACGGGAAGGACCCGCGCGAGGCGGCCCTGCTGGACGTGGTGAACGACGGCGTAGAGGACCTGCGCTGCAAGTACGCCAGCCTCATCTACACCAGCTACGTGCGTGAGCAAAGACGGCTTCCTGACCGCGCACCCACCCCCCACCCCACCCCACCCCACCCCACCGCACGCACACCCACCACACCGACACCCACCCACCCCACCCCACACACACACACACACACACACACACCCACACCCACACCCTCAGTGGCCGCTGAGACCCCCCGGGTCTGGGGCCCGGGCGGGGGGTGGCCATGGCCTGGAGCCAGGGACCAGCAATGGCAGAACAGTGCGAGGACCGGAGACACCGAGCCAGGGGGGCCTGACCCCTGGGCTGGGGTGGCTGGAGGGCTGCCTGGAGGGGGGGAGTTAAGCCCCTGGGCACCGTGCTGTCAGGCACACATGTGTGCAGACACAGAGCACATGCAGGCACACACATGTGCAGACACAGAGCACACACGTGTGCGGGCACAGAGCACATACAGGCACACGCGTGTACAGACACAGAACACACACAGCACATGCAGGCACACACATGTGCGGGCACAGAGCACAGGGACTCGGCTCGCTGAGCAGAGGCGGGCGCCGTGGCTGGTGAGTGCAGGGAGGGGGGAGGGGGGCTGGAGGGCAGGAGGCCAGGGCCTGAGACTGACCCCCGGGCTGACCCCCGGGGCTGACACCCTCGGCAGAGGGAGCCGTGGAGGAGTCTGGGCGGGGCGGGGCCGGAGGGGTGGCCTGGGAGGACCCCCAGGGCTCCCGCAGGGATCTGCTGAGAGGTCACGGGAGGGAGGGAGGGAGGGACTGGCTGCTGGCGGACAGGATGTGGCACAGCCTGGGGGGAGTCAGCTTCGGAGCACAGGGCTCTGAGGCGGTGCTCTGAGGCGGTGACTCTCAGACGGGCCAGCGGGAGGGGGGTCGCAGGGTGAGGGTCAGCGGGTGACCGGTGCCTCTTCCCGGCAGGAGGCGGGCAAGGAGGACTACGTGAAGGCGCTGCCGGGCCGCCTGAAGCCCTTTGAGACCCTGCTCTCCCAGAACCAGGGCGGCCAGGCCTTCATCGTGGGCAGCCAGGTGAGCGGCCGCCCGTCGCGCCCTCCTCCCGTGCCCTCCTCCCGTGCCGACGGGAAAAGGGGCAGAGGGTGCGTGAGCCGCCCGTGGCTGGACAGACCGAGGGACCAGCTCAGGCTCGGACCCCTCCCCCTTCGGTCGCCCCGCCGCTGACCCCCCCTCCCCGCAGATCTCCTTCGCCGACTACAACCTGCTGGACCTGCTGCTGATCCACCAGGTCCTGGCCCCCGGCTGCCTGGACGCCCTGCCCCTGCTCGCGGCCTACGTGTCCCGCCTCAGCGCCCGGCCCAAGCTCAAGGCCTTCCTGGCCTCCCCGGAGCACCTGAGCCGCCCCATCAACGGCAACGGGAAGCAGTGAGGGCCCGGCCCCCAGCAGGAGGGCGGCTGCCTGCCTGCCTCCCGCCCCTGAGCCAATAAAGTTTCCAGAAAAGTGGCGCCGTGGGCATTGAGCTTCCTGGGGAAAGGGCTGTGGGGTCCTTACCTGTCAGACGCTGGAGGTGCCCGGCTGGGATACCTGAAACCCTAAGGCTCAGTCAGCGTCTCCGGGGAGCTTGCAATGCGGTCTGTGTTTGCAGAGCTTGGGAAGAGGGGGAAAAGGAAAGAAGCAGGAAGAGAAATCACGGAGATCCCTGCCCTGGAGGCCCCAGTCCCGAGAGAAAAGGCTCACTGTGTCGGCAGGCTTTTGGGCCCAGCCCGCAGCTGCCGGGACACTTCAGGCCTGGACAGTGGGAGCTGAGGGTCCCTCCGGGCACAGCCCAGCAGCCCAGGCTGGCCGGCGGGAGGGTGTCACTCCTGCAGGTGGGGCTCCCTGCCCCTCGGACATTGTGGACATCGCGGGCAACACGAAGGTCAGGCTTCTCCCGCCGCCTCCCCCCCAGGCTGCTAAAGGATGGAGCCTGGGAAAGATCAGCCTGGGGGAGCTGGGGGGGGGGGGAGCATGTCCACAGTGGAGAGAGTCCAGGCAGAGGGGAGGCACTGGGGTGTGAGCAGGGACGGCTGGGGGAGGAGCCACGGAGGCCCCGGTCCTGCAGCCTGGAGGAGCCCTGCCCATAGGGGGCGCCCATAGGGGAGTCCCTCAGGAAGTGACCTCACTTCTGAGAGGCCTCAGGCTGCAGAGCTGGGTCAGCAAAGGGAGGCCTGCACCCATCCCACACCTCGGAGCCCCCCTTAGGGGCCCCGCATGGTGTCAGTGGTCATGGCTGGGGCACTGGGGAAGGCTTGGCCGCCCTTGGGGAGCCCCGGACGCAGAGGGGTGCCGCACACCCTGGGCGTTGCCCGGGAGGCGGAGGACACAGTTGAGAGCTGGAACAGGCAGTGCCTCGGGGAAGGACTTTGGATTTAAGACGTGTGGATCCCGACAGAAAAGGCGGGAACTCTGAGCCGCCCACAGCCACGCCTGCAAAGACCGGTTGTAGCTGCTAATGCTGAGCACTGGCTCCCCGCAGGCATGACGGGCAGGCTGCGGTACAGGCGTGTCCCACGCAAAGGCTAACCGGCCAGATACACACGGTTTAAGCGTGTGTGGGCTGCAGGGAAACAAAAGCTTCAATTTGCATCGAAACAGGTTTATTTCATAGAGACATGCTGCGTACAAAGGGCTGAAAATAAATGAGTCATCGTTAACATAAAACAGTAGAACATTTTAACAAAAATTAATAATTCTCTAGAACATTCACTTACCAGACACCGGATAGCGGCACAAATTAATAAGCATCACGCAAATAAACCTATTTTCCTTGCTCTCCGAAAATGAAACATTTCATGTTGCACACACCAAACAAGTCAGTACAAGACTAAGGACGTGGCAGTTGGATGCTAAAATATTTGCTGTTACTGTTAGTGGAGAGGAAAGGGCAATGAATGAACATGATTATAGTCATCAGTCATTGGCGAAGGCTGTAGTTCGTTATTAATAATTAAGTAGAGCTCTAGGCAGTTTGGCTCCGTGGATAGAGCCTCGGCCTGCAGACTGAAGGGTCCCGGGTTTGATCCTATTCAAGGGCACACGCCCAGGCTGTGGGCTCAGTCCCCAGTGGGGGGCGTGCAGGAGGCAGCCAGTCAATGCTTTTTTCTCATCATTGATGTTTCTATATCTCCCTCTCCCTTCCTCTCTGAAATCAATAAATATGTTATTAAAAATAATTATGGATCAATAAAACATTTAAAAAAAATAATTATGTAGCCGAAACCGGTTTGGCTCAATGGATAGAGCGTCGGCCTTCGTACTAGAGGGTCTCGGGTTCGATTCCGGTCAAGGGCATGTACCTTGGTTGCGGGCACATCCTCAGTAGGGAGTGGGCGGAAGGCAGCTGATAGATGTTTCTCTCTCATCGATGTTTCTAACTATCTCCCTTTCTGTAAAAAATCAATAAAATATATATTTTTTAAAAACGTGTCTTACATACTGTTACATTGACTGGGCTGCAGAAATACTCAGTGTGGGCCGCATGGGTTCGAGGGCCTCGGGTTTGACATCCTTGCTGTAGTCCCTTGTCCCTGTTTGTGGGGAGGAAACTGAGTCACAGAAAGTATAAATAACTTGCTGATGGTGTGAATTGAGGCAAGAAAAGGGAATTCATGGTACCATTGTGGTCAGACGCATTGAAACAGCATCGCCGTCCAGCAGGAGACTGGCTGAGTGCGGGAGGTGCTCGCACGATGGGTTTGTCGCCGTGAAGAGCAAGAGGCTGGGACAGGCTCTTGGGGATCAGTGGGCAGAGGGGGCCACCTGCGTGCCAGGGGGAGGGCCCACTGCCCCCCAGCCTGGCCCTGGAACAAGCAGAGCGGCCCGGACCCCGGGCGGGAGGGGCAGAAACGGACCCTGAAGCTGACAACTTCAACTGCACCCGGAACTCCCACCAACTCCCCACGCTCCTCACCCGACAAATACCAACGGACAACACATAACTGCCCGGCACCGGAGAGAAATCTCTCCCCTGAAAGAGAGATCATAAACAGGAAAACACAAGGAACTCGGGGGAGATAGAGAGCGTGCAGGCTGCAGGGGAGACTTCAAATAAACTCTAATCATTGCTTCGGGGAGATAACAATAGACACCTCCTCAGGGGACGGGAAAGGGCGCCAGCATAGAGCGCTCAGGGAGACGGAGCTGGCACTTCCAAGGGTGACAGCAGTGGAGATGGGCAATCTTGAAGATGAGGCTGAAAACCCACGTGAAAAACAGAACAGAAAGATAAAAGCATGGAGAGAGGGAAGAAAAACTGTGATGATAAGGGGAGGTCCAGAGAGAGAGGGAGGGAGGGGGAGGGGAGCACGCTGACGGCCAAGCGTATGGGAAGGGAAAAAAGACCAAAGACTGACACAAAAGCGACAGTGAAACTGCAGAGCCCCAGAGAGAAAGCGAAGATGCTGACACCTTCCGGAGAGGGCCAGGCCTCACCAGGAGGGGAAGGAGCTTGGAACGGCATCGGAGCTCATGGGGATGCTGGACATGCTCCCCCCTCTCCACACACACACACACACACACACACACACACACACACACACACACACACGACGGCCTCCCGGGAGGCTGGGCGGGACTGGAGGGACAGGCTCCTCCTGTGCCCCCTGTGCCCACAGGCAGGGCTCTGTGCCCGTGTCTGCCACCGGGGGCAGCGGCGGAGCCGTGCGTGGGCCAGAACTTGAGAGCAATCGCTGGGTCCTCCTTACCTCAGACGAGCAGTTCTCGGCTGGGGGTGCGATCCCAGGTTACACTGGGCAGTGTCTGAGACACTGCTGTGGTCACACGTGTGGGTGCTGCTGGCGCTTAGGAATCCTGCCTGCAGTGCACAGGACAGCCGTCCAACACGGAGTGACACAGCCCAAAGGTCCACAGGGCACGACTGAGGAACCCCGCCACGGTGCACGGACACGTGACAGAGAAATGAAATGCCACCGGAAAAATGGAGGCGGTTTCTGTAGGGCCTCAGGCTGGGAATGAAGTTCTTAAACAAGGTCCCCAGGGGAATACATTTACTACTTACCCAGACAAAGGCTTTCTCTGGCACAGGGATGGTTATTGCCTCTCCCACGATCAGATAGATGGTAAACACAAAAGAAATATTTGCAGTCACCTCTCGTTTTTAATGTTGGAGTTGGTATTCCCACTAATCTTTCAGAATCCTCTCAAAGTCCCGAACACCACACACACACACACACACACACACACACACACACACTCTTTCTCTCTTGAAGGTGGGAGACAAGGGCTTCTATGCACTGCCCCCCACCCCCCCCCAAAAAAAAAACACATTTAAAAAGCAAAAGCTAGCGGGAGGTCAAAGATTTTGGCAGCCAGAAACAACAGATTCAAAACTCTACAACAGGAAACCAGAGAAGGCGCTTCCTTTCTCTTGGGACGTTTTCTGTCAGGACCATCTATTATGCCTCAGAAAGTTTCAGAACCTCCCATCAGACAACAGTCTCTCAGCATAAGACCACAAAACAGCAGAAATAGAACCAGGAAGCAAAAGACCCCAACGCCCATAGCTTTAACACAAAGTTATAACAGTTACATGTGTAAACCTGTCTTAACACGACTCAGGCCAGAGAACAAATCAAAACCAAACGGCAGGACTTCCAGCAATTCCTGGTGAAGAAGCACCACGTATGGGAAGCCACGGCCTGCTGGTGCCCAGGACGCCAACTCGGTCATTACTCCCGCCATCTGACCTCCGATTTACAGCCTCCCCCCCGCCCATCTCCAAACGATGTGGCCATTCTCGGCCCTTTGTTTGTCCCTCTTCCCGCTCCATGTTAAGTCGTGATGGGCTTTGATTGGCATTCACAGAGAGCTCACAGATGAAACTGGAGATGTGACATCTCTGTGCTCCCTCCTCCCCCATGGTGAGGCCCTGAGCAGCCAGGTGCTGGCGGAGGGGAGGGCCGTGGGCTCAGGAGGGAGGAAGGAAGCAGTAAATACTGGCTGTGGCCTCTGGCCCCGTGCAGCACCGGGTCCCGCCATATGTCCGTGCAGCTCTGAGGGTGGGAATTGGGAGGAGATTGTCTTTGTCAGGTTGGAGGTGGTCCCGGGAGAGAAGGGTGTGAGGGAAGACAGACAGCTCACCTGTGTCTAATAACAACCACTCAGCAGGTTTTCTCCTTTCGCTGATTTACAAGCCCGGTGTTTCTCCACACTGGGCTCCTCGGAAAGGGGAGGATGAGGCTCCTGTGTCTGCCCATTTGGGATTGGCCAGGGGGCTGTGAGCTCTTTGTGTCTTTTGCCCCGAACAGCCATCAAGGGCAACATGGGACGGAGCCAAGAACCCCCGTGGGGACATTCCAGAGCCCTGGGCCTGCTCTGCTGAACACGGTTTGCTGCCAGGAGGTGCGGGGCTGGGTGACCCGAGGGGACCT